ATTAACTACAGTCTCTTATCTGCAAGTGGAAATGTACCAAAATCTTCCTCCAACTCCACGAGTAGTTTTCACATGTTAGCATTGCATTTCCCACACTGCTGATTTTGGAAATTGCTTGTGATTATTAGATGATACATTGAAACTATGTAATGGTGCAACTAATCAAATCAAGTTTTATTAATATAGCACATTTATAAACGATTTTTGGTCGAGCCAAAGTGCTGTACATATAATAAAAATAGCCTACGGTAGAGACACTTTACAGCAAATACAACAGCACAGATTGTTCAGAATATCAGTATGAGAAAAAACGACACCTAAACAAAAGCATAAGAAGTCTCCAGGTAACAAACAAAAAAATGCTGACTACTGTTTATTCACTTTAAGTGTCAAGTGTCCCCTGGAAAGAATAGAATAGAATCGGAGGGATGAAACCCTCTTTAATGGACACACATGCAGAGCAAACAGCACAAACAGTGAAATGTGTTCTCTGCTTTTAACCCATCCTAGTACAAGGAGTCTAGTACTAGGAGTCCCATCATGTGATGATTTATGACTGATCTGTGCAACTTGGACCATTTATTTTGCTAGAAATGTGTTGCAGATGTTCCAGATTACATTATAAATGGTATCAATGAAACTGTGTTTGTCTGTTTTCAGGGGTGAATAACACCCCTTGACCTCTGCCAAAAATTAGCATTAGTAGGGCAACCTTGCCATGCCGTAATCACTTCTGTAAATCTTCTGTCTGATACCAATGAGTAGTCATCAGTATCTGACTATCCCGCAAAACGATATGTAAACGAGTAAAACAAACGACACCAGACACTTTGATCATGGCCGTGGTAAGACGTTCATCAGACTTCAACCCATAATCCCACAGAGGTCGGTGCAGCAATGATTTTCGTTTCTGTAAATCTAGTTTAAATTATGTTTTATTTAATTTTTTTTCCAAAGTAGCAGTTCTCAGATATATTTCCATTATGCCAACCATAAACACAAATAGAAAAAATCTCAGAAATCTAAATGTGATGCAACTGTATTTCTACAGGCCAGCATGACATCAACAGTTACATCTCACTGTACGTACAGGCCAAATAAAGCAGTATTCTATGAATGATTTAGTATTATTAATACATATGTAATTGTTTTTTTGACTGTGTTAATGCAGTAGCAATACAATTATCACAAATTAAAATGCCTAATGACTCCATTAGTCATCAGATAAAGCAGTCAGCTAAAGGAAATGACAGGGTACTAACAACCTTATTTAACTCAAAGCAGTGGCGGTTCTAGACCAATTTGACTGGGGGGGCCAGGCTGGGGCCAGTTATTTTCTGAGGGGGGCACAATAAATGCAGGACGAAAAAGACAAAGACAGTATGAAGTAATTGTGCATAAGAAAACAATGCAATACAGTTATTGGTATTTGTTTCATTACACATATTTATTTCAGATACTTATAGTTACAGTTTTTACGTTCTAATCGGCTAACAGTGCCTTGGTTAAAGAGCCTGTTGCTGTTTATTTATAGAATTCTTTAAAACCAATATTATCTTCTTAAACTTGTATGGTAGTCAGGAGCATCACTTTCTAATGTGTATTGATATATTTAGAGGGAGGGGATCTAAAGTAATGCTTTAAAATTCAGATTAGATTAATTTCTACCATTTTCTTAAATTCATGGTAGTTTCAGTAATCCCATGGTAATTGAGGACACAAGTTATCTAAATGACTAATGTCATCTTTATGGCTTTCAGAAAGGACAGGAGACCGACAGGTGACTAGCAAAGGACTAGCAGCAGCAGCAGCAGCATGATGATGATGATGTTGTTTTAGAAACATCCATTGCAAATACATGGAATTCAATAAACATTGAATAGCATATCATGCAGTTTGTCTGTGCCTTTTCCTCCGTTTGCTGTGCTGCCTCCTAGTCGCCACCATGGTTTGCTGTGCTGCCTGGGGATGCTCAAATCGCTCCGAGAAAGGAGTACGAATGTACGGCTTCCCCACTGACACGGAGCGGAGGAAAAAATGTCTGGCTCAAGTCAGCAGGAGCAATTTCAAGACCAACAGCAAAAAAATATGTGATGTAATTATATACAAACACTGCATTTGCACTTTTTCACAAAACGAAAACCACACCATTGGGAAAGCTTAATGTTTTGTTTAATACAAAAAACAGGGAAAGGCTTGAAAAACACAGAGTTGAGACTCAGGGTGCAGGGTGAGGGTCTCAGTGCAGGTATTCAGGCTCCATTGAATCCCCCTCTGGTTCTTGTGCTGAAAGAGGGAGTAACAGACAGGAGAAAGGGTTATACACACCTATATAGCACACCTATTGGATGTGAAATTGCCTTGGGGAGATAAGGTGTTTACTTATATAAAACAGTAGTAATAAACTTAAAGGTGGGGTAGGTAAGTTTCAGAAACCGGCTCGAGTGCACTAAAATTTGAAAGTACACAGCCGAAAAGAATCCGCCCCTTCCTTCAGACTTTCTTACAGAGCACCTCCTCCAACACACATGAACGCGCACATGACGTCAGCAGACTGGTGAAAGTGGCCGCCTGTTGCTGGCGAGTCATTGAAGTACTGCTGCAATGCACGCCCAATGATGGCACGCCCAATGGATTTTTTATGGATTTTTTGTCAAAGCACTTAAGATATTCATTGCTATCGGATTGTTAAGAGCATTCAATGGAATATAACAAAAAGTGTATCTCGAGCCGGTTTCTCAAACTTACCTACCCCACCTTTAACTTGTGTTTTCACTCTCACTTAAGTCCCTCTCTCTTTGCCATCAATCCAAAATCAGCTGAGCTGCAACATTATACAGACATGTAATAATCAACATAATCACTCTTACACGCATCAAAGTTATATTTATCTAATATTTAACTCCCTCCACCCCCGCATACAATCCCGTTTAGAAGCCCCTCTTCTCTAATTCAACAACGTTGGACGAAATGACATTAAGAGAACGGAATTTACAATTAAAAGGCTGTTCAACGTGTATTGCTATACTTGCTTCGGTATCCTAGCTTAATCTGTTATCTGTAAACGTTCCCTAAATCTACTAATTTAGGGATAATCCACTGACATGCTTTAATACACATGTTAATTTGAATCAGATGTACTGATAATATCCGCAATATAAATCTTTAAACTTCTTCTTACCTGTAAAGTCAACCGAACAACAAATATTTGCCAGTGAGGGATATGGTGTGAAGCTTTTCCAGACGCGTGGTGTTGACAGCAAATCAGGTCTTCTCTTTGAGTGCATTTAAGATGTTTATTTGGATTGCAGGATGATGACAGCAAAACAAGAGCCGGGTGTTTAACTGATAACTAAACAACTAACTGTGATAAAGAAATAAACTGAAATTAACTCAAAACAAACAGAAAATAAGCGAAAACACACACGTGGTGAAAAACTGTGTGGCTTCCCTCTGGTGATTCCCAATCCCTAATGCTGTGCACAGGTGTGTCCTCCCTAAATAGTAGGCTGTACCCTGAAATTGGCTGAGTCCCCGCCTATGCCCAGGTCAATTCAGTAGTATCACAGCACCTTCATATACAAATATTAAAATACATCAAATTGGCTGCAACACACCAGCTCCTAATTGTTACTGTATAATAACATAACAATTCAACAACATACAAAACATTGCAGCCAAATAGAATAGTCCATATCAGTATTCTCAATCCATAATGTTCATTGTTCATGTAGATAATCCAATAGGGTTGGTAACCCCAATAATAGATGTTGGGTTTCAGTCTTTATTCAGCTTCCAATAGAAGACAGATCTTCGTGATTGGTCGCTCCAGTATGTTGTACTTCGTCCGGACTTTAACCGACCGCACAAGTCCCTGTCTGTCGGGAAAGGTCTGCAGTACCTTGCCCAACAGCCAGGATCCGCGAGGGGCATTAGAGTCCGCTACGATGACAATGTCTCCTGTGACAAGGTTCCTCTTGTCCTTTGGCCACCGTTGTCTCTCTTGCAACAGTGGTACATACTCCTGAATCCATCTGTGCCAAAAGAGATTGGCAAGGAATTGAACTTGCCTCCATCGTCGTTTGGAGTAGGAGTCATTTTTGTCAAAAAGCCTGGGTGGTAGAGAAGGTTTGCCTTTTAACAAGAGAATGTGATTTGGAGTCAGGGGTTCGAGATCATTTGGATCCTGAGGTTTTTGTAATGGGACGGTCATTCAATATGGCTTCCACTTCGCACAGGAGTGTTTGTAGTCCTTCATCATCCAAATGTTGCTGATAAAGAATAGAGTTCAGCACTTTCCTGACCATGCAAATTACTCTTTCCCATACTCCATGATGGGATGCGGCTGGAGTGTTGAAACTCCATTTCACTCCAGAATGAAGCAGTGAGTTTTGAATTTTCTGATGGTTCAAATGAGATAGAGCTTCTCTCAGCTCACGTTCTGCTCCAACAAAGTTGGTTCCGTTGTCTGATTTGATGTGTGATACTTGGCCTCGCCTGGAAATGAATCTGCGTATTGCATTTATGCAAGAACTGGTGTCCAATGAATAGGCCACTTCCAGATGGACTGCCCGACTGGCCATGCAGGTGAAGATAACTCCATAGCGTTTGATGAGGCTGCGGCCTCTCTTCACTTCAAACGGCCAAAAATAGTCAATGCCCACATTTGTGAATGGTGGAAGATCAGATTGCAGTCTTTCTTTTGGCAAATCTGCCATCTTTTGTTCACCCAGCTTTCCCCTATATCGTCTGCAGACAACACAGGAAGAGAGGATCTTTCTAGCAGCAGCATTTGCTCTGGTGATCCAGTATTATCGACGAAGTCTGGAAGGTAGGTGATTTCTTCCACAGTGTCCTAACTGTTCATAAATGTGGCGTAAGATTAGAGTGACGATATGTTGGTCCTTAGCAAGAATGACTGGATGTTTTGTGTCTTCAGGCATTGCTCCTTTGCTAAGCCTACCTCCCACTCTCAAGATTCCTTGATTCAGCACCGGATCAAGTTTATAAATGTGACTGCTTTTCTTCACTGCAGATGTTCCCTTTTTCAAAGCAGTGATTTCATCACTAAACTTGTCCATTTGGCAGTACTGAATGATGACACTTTCTGCCGCGTCAATATCTTCAGGAAATAAGACGTGACCACCCATTGTGGCTCTGAATCTTTTCATGTCCTCTTCCTCTTTGTTCTTTTGTTGAGTTGGGTCAAGTCCACTGCTGGACAGAGAAGCTTGTATTTATTTTCTCTTTTGACTCAACAACTGCAACGTCTTTCTCAGCTGGAGAAACCACGCAACTGAGATCTTAAGCCTTTTCCACGAGGAGAAGTGGGTTATCAGTTGATTTACTGCATTCTGTGGGTCTTCATCAGAGATGTTATTTGTTGCATTTGGTGCATCATTAATGATGACAGTATTAACTGAAACTTCTCCTCTAACCTCTGGGTCATCACTGCTGATGGAAGTTGAATCCAAGATGTTAAGAGGCCATTCCTCTTCACTCTTGGAAAGAAACTCTGGGCCATGGATCCATCTGCTGCAAGTGAGAAGGTGTTCAACTTTCACCCCACGAGAGGCCTCATCAGCTGGGTTCCGTTTTGTGTCAACGTACCTCCATTGTGAGATGTCTGTGGCTTCTCTTATAGCAGAGACCCTATTGGCAACAAAGGTGTGAAAGCGCTTTGTTTCGTTCCTGATGTACTTTAACACTGTTGTGCTGTCTGTCCAGAAGATTGAGTTTTCCAGCTCTAGTTGCAACTCTGCTTTCAGGAGTCTGTCAACTCTCGCTGCCAGCACAGCAGCTGTTAGTTCCATCCTTGGGATTGTCACATTCTTTAGAGGAGCAACTCGTGCCTTTCCGAGAACGAAAGTTACATGGATCTTCTCATCATCACTCTGCAGCCTCAAGTATGAAACTGTGCCATAGCCGTTCTCGCTGGCGTCAGAGAAATGATGTAGTTGGGCACTTGTGAGCTGTCCAAATCCTTTGGGTTTAAAACATCTCGGCACACTGAAAGTGCTGAGTCTTCTTAGATCTTCTAGCCACCCCACCCACTGCAACTGGTAGTTTTGAGGAATGTGCTCATCCCAACTGTAGCTCATCTTACAGAGGTTTTGCAGCATTATCTTGACAGGTAAGGTGAAGGGTGCTAAAAATCCAATGGGGTCGTAGACCGAGCTCACCACCGACAGGATACCTCTTCTTGTGAATGGCCTTTCTTGGACTGCCATCTTGAACCTAAAGGTGTCTGGGACTGCAGTGGTGCGCAGAAACTGAGTTCTTTCGACAGGAAGGCTGTCTGTCGAAATCCAGTTCTTTCACTTCCTTGGCTCTTTTCTCCACATCAATGGCTTCCAACACTGACCTGCTGTTGCTGATCCATTTCAGCAGTTGGAATCCTCCCAACTGGCATAGAGCGGTCAGGTCTGTAACCAAAGACATGGCTTCTGCCTCTGAAGACAAGGATTTCAAGCAATCGTCCACATAAAAGTTCTGCTTGATGGTGTCTGTTACATGAACTGGGAAGTCTGCTTTGTGGTCTTCAGCCGTTTTTTTAAGGGCGAAACTGGCACAGCTGGGCGATGATATTGCACCAAACAGATGAACAGTCATTCTGTACTCAGTGAGCGGCTGTGTCAGATCACCTCTTGGCCACCATAGGAAGCGAAGAAAGTCTACATCCTGTTTTGCCACTTGGACTTGATGATACATAGCTTTTATGTCAGCCATAACTGCTATAGAGTTTAGGCGAAACCTTGTGAGAACTCCGAGCAAGGAATTTGTCAAGTCAGGTCCCTGGAGTAGTTTAGTGTTGAGTGACACACCTTTGTAGCTTGCCGCACAGTCAAATACCACTCTCAGAGTTTTCTTTTTAGGATGGTACACCCCATGATGCGGGATGTACCACACCTTTCCTTCTTTTCCTTTCACCTGATGCTCTGGCACACTCTCTGCATAGCCGTTGTTTATGACATCAAGAAAGTTGGTGTATTCCTCTTTGAATGTTGGATTTCTCTCCAATTTCCTTTTTAGGCAGAGGACCCTTTGCTCAGCAAGATGGCGGTTGTTGGGCATGACAACATTGTCCTCTTCTCTAAAAGGCAACTTCAAGCAGTAATGTCCATTATTGAGTTCAGCTGAAGTGTTGGCAATTTGCATGAACTTAAGATCTTCTATGGACATTTCTGGCTTGTCTTCTGCTGATTTCTCATTGAAATCATGGTTGTACTGCTTCACCAGCAGTTCCTCTATGTGAGCAATGGATATGCGGTTGGCTGTGACTGTGGGGCAGCTACTCCCACTCTCATTGCCTCCTCTCAATGGTCCGTTGACAACCCATCCCAATAGGGTTCTAACAGCGTAAGGTCCTTTACCCCTGCTGTTTATCACTTCCCATGGCTCCATTACTTCTGGAGAGTTAGTTCCAATTAACAGCTCCACATCAGCATTGATAGCAGGAATTTCCACAGAGTCCAAGTATGGCCAAGCATACAAGTCTTCCTGTTGTGGGATGTTATTACGAGTCACAGGCATCTTGCGTTGGGTGTACACATCAGGCAACTCAATATAGATGTTACCATTGAGTGCAGCTACCTCTAATCCTGAGATGACGTGACTGTTGACAAAGCTTTCTTTATTCATTGTTTTCATCAGGAATTTAGTGTTCCTTCCTCTCACCTTTAGCTTCCTCATCAGTTGCTCAGAGCAGAAAGTAGATGAGCTGCCGGGATCTAGAAATGCATAGGTCTTTAGAATTGTGCTGCCTTTCTTTGCGTTGATCTTTACAGGCACAATTGACAAGACGCAATCCTGTGCTCCGGCTCCTATATGGCCACATGTCTTGGGAGTAGTGGCTTGACTCATCCTTGTTGCTTCTTGCTGTGAGTCCTTTGACTTGATTTCTTTCCATTCCTTTGCATGGATATGGAGAATGCTAGGATGTTTCAGGTTACACAACTTACAAGACAGCCGACTGTGACAATCTTTACTCATGTGTCCAACTGATAGACATCCAAAACAAGCACCTTTCATTTTTAGGAAATCAATTTTATCCCGATGCTGCTTCTTTTCCATCTTGGGGCACACTTCCAATCTGTGGCCCTCTTCACACAGCAGACAAAGTCCCTTTGTTGACTTATCAGGTAAGTATTTCTCCTTTTGAGTTTCAGAGTTAACAGCTGCCACAGATGTAGCGAAACTGCTTCCTTTCTCCTTTATGCATCCCTGTGACACTTTATTTCCAACTTTGAATTTTGAGAATGAGACAACTGTGTCTTGAATGTCTCCATACAGTGGGTCAGATGCAATGCACTTGTCTCTCAATAAAATTGACCAAGTCACTGAAACCTGCTTGACGATGGCGTCTCTCCTGATGTTCAAAAGCAATGTTTCTCCATTTTTCCCTCAGTTTGTATGGTAACTTCATGATTATAGCACGTATGTTTGATGGCATATTCATTTCTGACATGTAGCTTATGTCCTCCATAGCGTTACAGCAGACGCGTAGGAATAGTGAAAATGCTTGTAAGGCTTTGATGTCCTCTGACTTCAGTGGTGCCCATCCAAGTGCTTTTTCCATATATGCAGTGGCTATTTTTTGCTCATTTCCAAAGCGTTCTTCTAAAAGCATTCTTGCTCTTTGATACCCCCTGTCAGATGGCATGTGTTGACAGCTCTTGACCAGCTCTCTAGGTTGCCCTCGAGTGTACTGCTCCAGGTAGTATAAGCAGTCTACACTGCAAGCAGCTTTTCCTTCCACTCCATTTTCAAAAGCTCTGACAAATAAGTTGTACTCAAGAGGGTTTCCATCAAACACTGGTATGTCCCTTGGGGGTAATGATAATGAAGACTGCTGTTGCACTAGTAATGCTGTGATGTCGTTTTGCTTTTGCATGATGGTGAAAATATTGCCTTGGTCCGGTTCCTCCCTGTTTTGGTTTGATTGCTGTGATGGCTGTGCAGTTGGATATGACTGACGAGATCTTTGAGGCATTCTGCCTTGGTCCTCATCGACTTGGATACATTGCTGTTGTGTATATGCACTGGGATATGACTGCAAAGACCTTTGAGGCATGCTTGGGATGTGATTTGAAGCATACGTTTTTGATCTGGTTCCTTGTGAAATGGTTTATTTGCGCCGTGCCCCTGTTCCACTTGGCATTGTAGCTGCAGTATTGCACTGGTTGTATGGATCCTGTAGCTGCTGAGACTGTAATGGCATTGCAGCTTTAGCAGCTCCTGTTGGTGGATTGTACTGGTTGTATGGATTTTGATGTGATTGAGTGGGTTTTGTAGTTTTACTGCCTCCTGTTGGTGGATGATTGTATTGACAGTTTGGCTCCAATAATTGTGCTTTCATTGACATAGCAGTTTTACTGCCTCCTGTTGGTGGATGATTGACGGTACAACTTGAAGTTTGTGGAACAAATGGCACAGCAGAGGGTTTGAGAGCAGACTTGTGTTTTGACACATATGAATTTGTTCCATTTGTGACTCCTATGTCAGACCCTCTGTTTCGGAGTACTGTGACTTTTGCTGTCTGCGCAGCAATCTGACTTTGCACTTCAAGCAATTCCCTTTTCTTCCTAATTTGAGCCTCCAGCTCATGCTTTTCCTTGAGAGCAGCCTCCAAAGCCAGGAGCGCAGCCCTTTCAGCCTCTGCCTTGATACGTGCAGAGCACGTTGTTGACCTTGAGGACCTTGAATGGCCAGAGCTTCCACCTGACACATTTGTTTTGTCACCAATGTTAGAAATACTGTCATTTGGCCCAATATTATCCAGCTCCTCATTTGCATGTAACACATAATTGTCATCATCCACAACCTGTATGCATTTCTCCCTGTTTGCATGGAACACATAATTTTCATCATCCACAACCTGTATGCATTTCTCCCTGTTGGCATGGACCCATTTTTCCATTTTGTGTATTACTCCTTTAACATTGTGCATTTGATTTTGAAACCATTCCGTTTGTTTAAACATTTCATCCTCAGGCAACAAAGGTTTTAATGACTCATGCAACATAGTTTCCCCAGACAGTTTCCACAACATTTCATGTTTGATTTGCATGTCAGAAACATTTCCATCTGAAATCATCATTTGTTCCAATTCCTTTGCCATTTTACACAATTGCTTTATCCCAGAATTCCTATCCTTTTGCATAGATAATATCTTTGCTTCCGCTGCTTTATATGTGAGTTTAGCTGTCCTTTTACCAAGCCCATCCTCCTTTTCAGTTTGATTGACAGCAGCGTTAATTTCTGCGTTCATTTCCTGATTTTCCTCGTTACTCATGGCCATTATTTAGCAATCCACGGAGGCTTTGTTTAGAATTACTTTATGGGATTTGCCTGTATCCCGTTGCGTGAAGGCCACTCTCCTCCGCAACCTTTTATTCATTCATAAATACTCCTACCGTGACTTTGATGTTTGGTCCGTCCCCGTTCCTCTTGCGGGTGCGTAACGTGGATTTAAGTCGGGAACAGTCAATGAATACAGCGCTGTCCTCCTGTGTCCATCCGTCTTTGGAAGCAAGTTTTTCAACAAATGTAAAGGCAACCGAACAACAAATATTTGCCAGTGAGGGATATGGTGTGAAGCTTTTCCAGACGCGTGGTGTTGACAGCAAATCAGGTATTCTCTTTGAGTGCATTTAAGATGTTTATTTGGATTGCAGGATGATGACAGCAAAACAAGAGCCGGGTGTTTAACTGATAACTAAACAACTCACTGTGATAAAGAAATAAACTGAAATTAACTCAAAACAAACAGAAAATAAGCGAAAACACGCACGTGGTGAAAAACTGTGTGGCTTCCCTCTGGTGATTCCCAATCCCTAATGCTGTGCACCTGTGTCCTCCCTAAATAGTAGGCTGTACCCTGAAATTGGCTGAGTCCCCGCCTATGCCCAGGTCAATTCAGTAGTATCACAGCACCTTCATATACAAATATTAAAATACATCAAATTGGCTACAACATTACCTTTAAAAATCCGTCACGAATGGTCTATTATACTGCAACTCTACAGCTCTGCTAGCCTTGGCGCTAACTTCCGGGGAACGATTGAGAGGCTCCACGATCCGCCATTGCTGTAAAAAAGTGGTCCATTGGCGTGAACGGAGATGACGTAACTCTCAATCTTTTTGCATGATGCATGTTCCTCATTTCCATAGCACTATAGAATGCCCAGGAAACTGAGACATTGTTCATGAGCCAGAGACAATTTCACAG